TCAGTTCCTTTGAGCTGCACTTAGAGAATCCCATGGAGTGGATCCAGCAGGATTTTGCTCCATTTTACAGATGAGGAAATAGAGGCATAGAAAAGGGAGATAGTCTGCCCCAAATCAGAGTAAGGACTCAAATTCCATTCTCCTGACTCTGGGTCAAGCACTAAGACCTCCGCCCATCCTGGCCCCCTCACCCCCTCAGGCAGTGCCACGCTCGGGGTCAACTCCCCTGACCACTCTCCTTCCCTCTGCCCACCCCCCCCCAACCAGGTCTCCCACACTTTCTCCAACTATCCGCCCGGCGTCCGCTACATCTGGTTTCAGCACGGCGGCGTGGACACTCACTACTGGGCCGGCTGGTACGGCCCGAGGGTCACCAACAGCAGCATCACCATCGGGCCCCCACTGCCATGACACCCCCAAGCCCCCAGCCACCTAATCCCAACTGAAAAACTGCTGTCGAGAAGGGCTGGGCTTGGGAAAGGGAGGTGGAGGCCAGGCTCCCCCAGACTTCCTAGTTCACCTTTGCCCCCAGCTCCCCAGCTGCCACTTTGTGCAGCCTCTTTGTCTGTGCAGCCTTGGTATGTTATGGGTAGCTCGCTCTCTGCCAGGGGTCTCAGTCTGAATGGTGGGGCCCCTGAAGTTAGGGAGGTGCAGGTCGTCCCCCAGGCTCCTCCCCCAGTCACCTCTGAGGGAAGGTCTCCAAGTTCTGCTGGTAACCCAGATCTATGTGTCTACCTTCTCGCCCTGGGCCATTTTCTCACTGTCTTCTTTGAGGGCCACCAGAGCAGGGACAGTCAGGACTTCGGGCAAGCCTGTGACTGCCCTACGTAGTAAGGTGCTGGGAGGTGACCGTGTAGCTCAGACAGGTCTAGGAGTGGAAGGAGGAGTCTGCTGGCCCACCCTCTGCCCCCTTCTCTACCACCCTCAAACTCTCTCACTCTGAGCCCCTGCTCAGGGAGGTGACTTTGGCCCAGAGGCTCAGGCCTGGTCTGAGATAGTCAGGCCCAGTGGGGTGGGGTCCTGGCCAGGTCTAGACAGTCTTCAGTCAGGGAAGCCCCAGAAGCCACATAGGTATTAAGTGGAGGCAGAGCTCTCCAAAAGACCCCCCTGGAATTCTGTGCAGGGTAAGCCAGGGCAGGTGTGTGGGGGGGGGGGGGGGCGGCAGTGCCAGGACTGGTCCCTGAGAACTGGGATATGTGAACCCTGAATGAATAGGATAGGGGTTTTCAAGAACCACCTGTCCGCCTCCATGCCTAGACCATGCTCTCTTCAGCTTGGAGAGCATTCCAGGCCCCCACCCTACCCTCAGAACTACCATTCCCAGGACTTCCCCACCCTGTCTGCCCACATTCCCACCTCTCCCTCCCGCTGGAAAGAGAGCTGTGCTCTAGTCCTATCCCTGCTGCATGTGGCCAAATAAAAGGTATTCCCAGCCCAACATGTGCCCTGTGTTTTCTGGGAGAAAATGGCAAACTTCATGGGAGGTCCTGCCTCTGGCCTGCAGAAGGTGCAACTTGTATGGCTCTGTCCAAGGCACAGAGAGGGGTTGACATTTCAGGAGCCAGACTTCGAAGAATGAGGGTCCTGGGACAGACCGCTGGAAGAGCTGCTGACCCCACAGCCCAGCAGCCCTCCAGTATTGCTGGCTTCCTCTGGAGGCCTGGCCACCAGCTGGGGGGTGAGGCATGCAGGTTTCTTGGGCAGCTCTTGCCTACACCTCTTGCTGGGTCAGCAGTGCCACCACAGGCACTACTTACTGCTGTTTTTTTCACTGCCCAGAGCTTTACTGACATTGGATGAAGCCTAAGAATTTATAGTGGCTCAGCTGATCAAGAATCCGCCTGCAATGCAAGAGACCTGGGTTCGAACCCTGGGTTGGGAAGATTCCCTTGGAGAATCGAAAGGCTACCCACTCCAGTACTCTGGCCTGGAGAATTCCATGGACTATATAAGTCCATGGAGTCGCAAAGACTCAGACACCACTGAGTGACTTTCACTTTCAAGTATTTATAAGGGTGCCTGGCACACTGTAGGTGCCCAATAAGTACTGTTAAGTTGCATTATCTTCACTTAACAGTTAGCTAGAACCACAACCCACTTAACTGTACGGCAAGTCAGCAAAGGACACTCTGTCTTGGAGGAGACGCAGCCCAGAGTTAACAGCCTGGCCAGGGTCTCGCTCCCCTGGGCAGCGCACAGCCTTTATGACCCTTTGTGATTACCTGAAGTGTTGTTCTTCAGTTGCTCGGTCATGTCCGACTCCTTTGAGACCCTATGGACTGCAGCCCCTAGGCGCCACTGTCCATGGTATTTCCCAGGCAAGAATACTGGAGTGGGTTGCCATGCCCTCCTTCAGGGGATCTTCCCAACCCAGGGATCTAACCCGGGTCTCCTGCTTGGCAGGAGGATTCTTTACCACTGAGCCACCTGGGAAGCCCCTGAAGTAGGTGCTTGCTAATTATTTATTGAATAGAGAAAGTGAAAGTCGCTCAGTCGTGTCCGACTCTTTGCGACCCCATGGACTATACAGTCCATGGAATTCTCTAGACTAGAATACTGGAGTGGCCAGCCTTTCCTTTCTCCAGGGGATCTTCCCAACCCAGGGATCAAACTCAGGTCTCCTGCATTGCAGGCGGATTCTTTATCAGCTGAGCCACAAGGGAAGCCCTAAATAGGGAAAGGAATTAACTTAATCCTAACAAAAAAACACAGAGCGGATTTTACCTTTGAGTTAATTGAGGGCTGCCCGAGAGATGGTAGGAGCCAAGCGCAAGGCCAGAGTTTCAGCAGTCTCCCTCCAGACCCACTTCGCTCCGGGGGTCCAGGGATCCCGGGTAGATGTCTAAGGAGTGGCCCCAGAGGGGAGGAGCTGGATCAGGAGGCGGCTCCGGCTTCCCCGGAAGGAGAGAACTTTGGCCCCCGCCGCTGAGCCGCCCGCCGCCTAGAAGGGAACGCTTGAGGTCTGGAGCTCCCCCGACGCGGCCCCGGCCCTGAGAACCCCAGAATCCCTGGCACACGGTGGGTGAAGGGGTTCCGGCGTTGGGTTGGCTAGGTCTCAGGAGCGGCCCAGAGGGACGCGGCCGGAGCGCGGCGCGTGACGCAGGCGCGGGGCGGGGCGAGAGCGCGCGGCGCCTAAGAGGCCGCAGGTTCCAGGCCGATCCTCAGCTCCGGTCCCGCGGAGCGCGCCGCCCCGCGACCAGGTCTCAGCCCAGCCGGGGGACGGGTAGGGGGGCGACAGGCGTGGGAGGGGGCTTGGATGTCAGGCACTGCGGGTCTCCGGGTCTCCCAACGTTGACCGAGCCCGAGGACGCCGTCACTGGCTGGCCGGCACCCACGGCAGGCGGAGAGGGACGGAGGGAGCCGCTTCCGGGCGTGGTAGGGGCGTGGCGGGGGCGGAGCCCATCGCCGGGGTCTAGTCGCCGCGGCGCGGAATCCCTCGCCTCCCGGCCTGGCTGTCCCGGAGCATCCTCGGCTTCCGGGGCCACTCCCGCCTCACCTCCAGACCAGCGCCCTGGCTAGGAGACAGTCTAGGGACTCCGGGCACCGTCACTCCCGCGGGGCCTGGGACGGAGCCAAACTTACCCAAGCCTCAGCTTTCGCTTTCGAAAATGGGCTTAGTAACAGGGTCTCAAGGGGTTCTTAGGAGAGTCTATGGAGAAAAGGCTAGTGCGTGGCTTCTGGACTGGTACGCAGGAAGCCCAGTAGGTGCGAGAGGCTGCTTCGTAGCGCTGATGTAGACGTTTCCACTTAAGAGTGCCCCAGGATGACCTTCACCCACGCACCCCCCCCACCCCCCACCCCGCTACCCTCTCTGCAGTCAGGCTTTGGGGATGGGGTCCAGTAATAACGTGGGTTGCCATGCCCTACCTCAGGGGATCTTCTCCACCCAGGGATCGAACCCGCGTCTTTTATGTCTCCTGCTTTGGCAGGCAGGTTCTTTACCGCTAGTGCCACCGGATGTTAGTCGCTCAGTCATGTCCAACTCTGCAACCCCACGGACTTTAGCCCACCAATCTCCTCTGTTCATGGGATTCTCCAGGCAAGAATACTAGAGTGGGTTGCCATTTCCTTCTTCAGGTATCTTCCCGACCCAGGAATGGAACCTGGGTCTCCTGCATTGCAGGCAGATTCTTCACTGAGCCACCTGGGAAGCCCAGTAACATGGGACCAGACTTTGGACCACAGGTTAAGACACCTCTAACTTGGAGATCCAACCAGGCCATCTTAAAGGAGATCAGTCCTGGGTGTTCATTGGAAGGACTGATGTTGAAGCTGAAACTCCAATACTTTGGCCACCTGATGCAAAGAACTGACTCATTGGAAAAGACCCTGATGCTGGGAAAGATTGAGGGCAGGAAGAGAAGGGGACGACAGAGGATGAGATGGTTGGATGGCATCACCAACTCAGTGGACATGAGTTTGGATAAACTCTGGGAGTTGGTGATGGACAGGGAGGCCTGGCGTGCTGCAGTTCATGGGGTCTCAAAGAGTCAGACACGACTGAGAGACTACACTTTCGCTTTTCACTTTCATGCACTCGAGGAGGAAATGGCAACCCACTCCAGTGTTCTTGCCCGGAGAATCCCAGGGATGGAGGAGCCTGGTAGGCTGCTGTCTATGGGGTCGCACAGAGTCAGACACGACTGACACAACTTAGCAGCAGCAGCAGCAGCAGCCCAAGGGACCAGGGGACTGTAGGAGCCAGGCTTGAGGCCAGAGTTTCAACAGTCTTTGTCCAGGCGGGGGCCCACCTCCCTCCCTGCATCCAGGAAACCAGGGTAGAGGTCTAGGGAGTGGCCCCGCAGGCCAGGGGCTAGGTCAGGAGGACTCTGGCTTCCCAGAGGGAGGAGGAAGCAGAGAGAAGGTGAGTCCTTGCAGGAGCTAACAAGTACCTTGTGGTGGTGGTGGTTTAGTCACTAAGTTACGGCCACCTCTTTGCGACCCCATGGACTGTAGCCCACCAGGCTCCTGTCCATGGGATTTACCAAGCAAGAATTCTGGAGCAGGTTGCCATTTCCTACTCCAGGGTATCTTCTCAACCCGGGGACAAGTACCTTATTTGTTTATCTATTTCTCTAGTAATGGTAAAATGCTTCTCCCTGGGCAGGTGCCAGTGTGCCCACCCTCATTTTTTTTTATGAGATGAATGTGTTGAGAAGACTGTGCACTGTGTGAAAATTAATAAAGGGAAACTGATAGTACAATCCCAGCATCAAGAGGCATACTGGGAATTTCTGGCAGAAAGTGACAACACTACTGCAAACAGGAGGCAAAAAAGAACTTATCCTAGTGAAAGTGACAATACTACTGCAAACAGAAAGCAAAAAGGATCTTCTCCTCCTTTGGCAACAGCTCAGCCAATGAGAGACTAACAACTCAACCAATGAAAAGCCATTATGCTTCCAACGCCTAGTGTCTTCCAGTGAATTTTTTTGCTTATAATAGCCCCACCCAACTTTCCCTTCTCCTCTATGAAAAGAGTCCCTTCTTTACTGAGCAGGACTTGTTAAGTGGTTTGGTGAAGTTGCATAGCCTGAATTGCAGTTCTTTGCTGCTCCAAAATAAACCGGTTTTGCTAGTAAAAAAGCGACCATTTTACTGTTTTAACTTTACACGGAGGTTTCCACGGAGGTTTCACGGAGATCCAGAGAAGACCTTCTAACAACTCCAAGGCTGCTGAGCAAACAAGTGCCGCAACTCATAGAATCCACTGGGCTCATTACTTTCTTGCCATCCTGGCAGTTTGAGGGTAAGTTTTTCTCCTGGATCCGAGCTCCGCTCTTTCTGCGTTTTGAAGCTCTCCAGGCTTTATTTGGGGGCTTCCCTAGTAGTTTCAGATGGTAAAGCATCCGCCTGCAATGCAGGAGACCCAGGTTCGATCCATGGGTCAGGAAGACCCCCTGGAGAAGAAAATGGCAACCCACTCCAGTATTCCTGCCTGGAAAATCCCATGGACAGAGGAGTGTGGTGGGCTACAGTCCATGGGGTAGCAGAGTCAGACACAACTGAGCAACTAACATACAGGCTTTATTTGGAATCAATTTGAAGGCGCCATCATTTTTTATTAAGGCCTTGTTTGTCTGTGAGTACTTGGTTAGCTCTTAGGCCTCACTCCATGTTGAAATAAGACTGTTCCTAGTGGAACTGTGCTAGCTTCCAGCCCGACTACTTTTGGAACCAGGCTTTTCCTATTGAAACTGTGCTGATATTTGGCCTGGGGACTGTTTAAGAATGATTCTTTTGCTCCAGAAAAAAAGCCCTGAAAAATAGGATCCTGGTTATATAAAAATGTTTTGAGGGTGCTTCCCTTTTCAGGGATCCAAGGCAATTTTATGTTAAAAAAAAAAAAAAAAATCTGCTGTCTCTCCTTATAAGCATTTTTAACTAAATGGACCAACCGAAACAGATGTAATTTAGAACATCAGTGACCAATGTAGGAAACTTTTGAACCCCCCAAATTTACTTTCTTAAAATTGTTCAAAGTAACCGAAGCAAACATTAAAGACAAAACAGTTTCTGAGGTCTTCATCTACCCCCCTCTTCTTTGTCTGTGGATGCTGGCTTCCCGATGCTCCCTCACTCTGAACCTATTGGAACATGCTCCTTAAAGTTAATCTTCTGAGGATTGAAATAAATCCCAGATTACCTATGTTCCCTGGACCAATTATGAGCCATAGTTAAAGCGTTTCCTAAAATAACTGAGGATTCCCCCATAGGTTTGCTGGAGATTTTAATACAGTTTTTCAAACCTGCAAGTCTGGTTTTTCAGATTTATATCAGTCCACGTGCTTGTTGGTAAGTGTCAAGTAAACACTGGATGTTCCCCATGGGAACATTCTGGAAGGGTTTTAGTAGAGCAAAACCCTACCTTTTGGCAAGAGGCTATAATACTCATTGAAAACCTCCACTGAGCAATGACAGTAGCTTTTCCTAAGCCTGTTGATTGGAACAAAATGCAGCCTTACACACAAAAATCTGATGATGATTCTGTTCATGATTAGTCTAATTGACCTAAGGTTAATTTTTTTAAATATATGTATTTTATTGACGTATAGTTGACTTACAATGTTTCAGGTGCACAACAAGGTGGTTCAGTTATACAAATACACTTATATTATTTTTGAAATTATTTTCCATCATGTGTTGTTACAAGATATTGACTATAGTTCACTATGCTATACAGTAAACCTTTGTTGCTTATTGCATATCTATTTTTTAATTAAAAATCTAGCATTCTATTCATACTAAGTCAAACAAGTGAAATCAAAATGTCATAAATTTTTTAGTTAGGCAAAAATTCATGTTTTCTAAAATATATATATTATTCATATTTGTATATGTATACAAAAGGTCTTCTACTACACTTGATAAAGGCTTGAGAAAGAACGTCAAAAAAAAAGAGTTGGAGAACATAAACTAAATGAAATGGGAACACTGAATATGAAATAGAAAAAGTGAAACTAGATAAAAGTAAAAGATCATCATATGCCCAGTTGTTTTTAAACAGTGACTGCTCATTAGAAGCATTTCTGGTGCTCTGGAGGAAAAAAGCAATCCCTGAGCATTTGTATGATTTCAGGTTATTTTTAAAGAAATATTCAACTTCCTTCAGATGTTGAGTCCCCTTGGGTAACCGTTACTTCTATGTTTATTAATGGACTGAACCTGGGACCTTTTTCTTTTAGTTAAAAGCATGAGGATGGAATCGGAAACTGTGTCCACTCTTAGATTCATTTGGTCAGCTTACTTGCTCCCTAAATGAGCCACCAGAAAGAAAGACCTCTAAAATTCTTAATCTTCAGCTCCAGCAAGTGTAGGTCCCTAAACAGATCCAAAACCTTCTAGTTTCTGGTATTGCAGAGAATCAGGGTATCAGAAAAAAGATTTTTACCAATTTAAGCATTTCAGGGGTTTTCAATCTTCTCATCAAGTCTCTCATCAGCCTTTCCAGTGTCCTCCTAATGCCCAGGGAAAGGGCTCCGAGAACTGCAGGGGCTCTTCCCAATCCTCCCTGTTCATTAGCTCCAAGAAACATCTTTCCAGATTAGGAAGGAATTTCTGTCCTTACTGAGAGCAGAGCCACACTCTTGGTGCTCAGCCCCACTGCAGAGAACTAATACAGTTCAGATAGGGGGTCTCTAATAACCCTCAACAGGCTCCTGTCTCCGAGCCTTTTCCCTTTTGTTTGGGCCTTTTGAGAGATACACACCCGTTCTCTTAGCTCCTCCAACTCCATTCATTATTAGGTTAAGGCTTCTTGGAAGAGTATTATACCAGAATTTCTTCCTCCCAAAAAGAAATAATTCTAGAATTTAACAATAGCCATCAAAATAGCCAGTGCCAGGTAAATAAAAAGACCTTTTGACATCTTTTACTTGTTCTGTGTCTGACACTATGTAGGCTGATTCTGGAAATACCAATTGTTTGTCCCTGATGAATCAACTACCACCCTCCTTAAGGGCCAGATCGCAAACTGATACTGGCAAAATTCACAGTGTACCTCCCATTAAGATTCAAATAGATTGCTCTAAACTCTCTCCAGAATTAATCAATAGTCTATAAGTAAAAAAGCCCTTCAAGGTGTAAAGCCCATAATAGAAGATTTCAAGGCTCATGGTCTCATTATCCATTGCAATAATCCCTGTAATTCCTCTATTTTACCCAAGGGGTAAAACCCAGGTGCTGAAGATGGTTTGTCCAGGACCTCTAAGCATCAAACACTGTAATCTCTCAACACCCAGCTGTTCCTAACCCCTACATGCTACTGACATCTGTTCCCTGTGGAAGCAAGTTTTTCACTGCGACTGATCTATGCAGTGTATTTTTCAGTACTCCAGTTGATAAAATTAACCAATAATCTTTTTGCCTTCACCTGGAATGGACAACAATACACCTGTACAGTGATGCCCCAGGATTTCACAAAAAGTCCTTACTTTTCACTTATCTTGAAAGCTGATTTAGATGATATAAAGTTTTCTACAGATTTTGCTTTGTTAAAATACATAGATGACTTGCTCTTGTGCTCTCCGTCTCAAACTTCCTCACAGGAAGACAGCATCCACCTGCTAAAACTTTGAGACATAAAGTCTCCAAAGAAAAACTGCACTTTGCTCAAACTCAGCTTTGATATCTAGAGCACGTGATCTTAGAACAGGGACTATGTTTGGATCCAGATAGGCTCCATAACGGGCTTCCCAGGTGGCATTGGTGGTAAAGAACCCACCTGCCAATGCAGGAGATGGAAGAGACGCGAAGTTCAACCCCTGAGTTGGGAAGGTCCCCTGGAGGAGGGCATGGCAACCCACTCCAGTATTCTTCCCATGGACAGAGGAGCCTGGCAGGCTACAGCCCGTAAGATTGCAAAGAGTTGGATAAGACTGAAGCAACTTAACACACTCGCACAACAGGCTCCATGACATCCTGAACTTCCCCAGATCAAAAACTAAGCACCAGTTATGAGGCTTTCCCAGCCCTCTAGTTACTGTTGAAATCAGACTCCAAATTTCTCTCTATGGCTCAGCCCTTACGTGATTTATTAAAAACTGGTAAAGTTGATTCCGTTAATTGGAGAGGTCAAGATGATACAGCTTTGAAGACTTAAAGAAAATCTTAATGAGACCACCTGCCCTTGAACATCCTAATCACCAGCTTCCCTTTTTCCTCTTTGCATATGAGAAGGCAGGGACTGTCCTCAGAGCACTCACCCAAAAACATGGGGACCATCGTCAACCTGCAGGGTTTTGTAGCCAACAGCTGGACCCTGTGGTGCAGGAATACCTCCCCGCCTCCACCCATGCCTCAGCCATTCCTGCCACTGCCCTCTGGTTAAGGCCACTGAAGAGATAACCATGGGATCCCATTCAACCACATTTGTACCCCAGGTAGTGGAAGCCCTCCAGAATTCTCATCCACTCAACAGTTTTCAGTCAGTTGTCTCATCTCGTATGAAATCCTTTTGCTTACTGCTCCCCACATAACCCTTTCACATTTACTAATTTCAGCCCAGCTGCTCTTCTTCCCTTCTTCACGAAACCCCTCAGCAGTGCCTGACCCTCACAGGTCACTCTTTGATTTAGAGGAGATGCCTCTAACCAATGCAGATTTTTCATGGTTTACTGATGGTCCTTATTTAAAGGAAGAAAACGGTAAATACTGTGCTGTGTATGCTATTATAACTCCTTTTGATATTGTTGAAGCGACACCTTTGTTCTTTGTTCACTGGCTAAATCCTGTCCGACTCTTTGCCACCCCATGGACTGCAGCATGCCAGGCTTCCCTGTCCTTCACTGTCTCCCGGAGTTTGCTCAAACACATGTCCACTGAGTCGGTGATCCCATCCAACCATCTCATCCTCTGTCACCCTCTTTTCCTCCTGTCCCCAATCTTTCCCAGCAACAGGGTCTTTGCATTAGGTGGCCAAAGTATTGGAGCTTCAGCATTAGTCCTTCCAGGGAATATTCAGGGTTGATTTCCTTTAGGATTGACTGGTTTGATCTCCTTGCAACATCTTTACCTATGGCTTAATTACCCTACAGACTAAATTATATGTTTCTCACCGAGGCTTTTAAGTTTAGCAAAGGCAAAACTGCTTATATTTATACTGAGAGTCAGTATGCCTTTGGAGCAGCCTATGACTTTGGGATAACATGCGATCCTCTGGACTGTAGCCTGCCAGGTTCTCCTGTCCTTAGGATTTTCCATGCAAGAATCCTGGAGTGGGTTGCCATTCCCTCCTCCAGGGGATCTTCCCAACCCAGGGATTAATCCTCCATCTCCTTATCTCCTGCATTGCAGACAAATTCTTTACCACTGAGTCACTACAGAAGTCCCCACAGCTGATAAAAAGAGATACATTTTAATATTGTGTGTGTTAGTCACTCAGTTGTGTCCGACTCTTTGTGACCCCACGAACTATAGCCCACTAGGCTCCTCTGTCCATGAGATTCTCCAAGCAAGAATACTGGAGTGGGTTGCCATTTCCTTCTCCAGGGGATCTTCCCGACCCAAGGATCGAATGCAGGTCTCCTGCATTGAAGGCAGATTCTTTACCATTTGAGCTAACCGAGGAGCTCAGAAAAACAAAAATCTATCTATATCAGCGACTGGAATACTGGAGTGGGTTGCCATGCCCTTCTTGAGGGGATCTTCCCAACCCAGGGATCAAACCCAGGTCTCCCGCACTGCAGGCAGTTTCTTTACCATCTGAGCCACCAGTATTCTTGGGAAGCCCAAGAATACTGGAGTGGGTAGCCTATCCCTTCTTCAGGGGATCTTCCCAACCCAGAAATTGAACCAGGGTCTCCTGCATTGCCTGCAGATTCTTTACCAGCTGAGCTACCATGAAGAAGATTGCTGTACCAGAGCATTGTTATTTTTAATGAAAGCAATTAAGCCTTTATTATAAAATCTTCTTCATAGTGTACTCTTGGGAGATGAAGACCTTAAGTATCACACCTTTCAACCTAGAGATTTCATCTATTGGAAAAGACACCTCAAGAAGGACTCTCTTCAGCCTCCCTGGAAAGGCCCCAGCTGCTGCTAACCTCCCCTTGTGCTGCCAAACTCCAGAGAACAGACTCTTGGATTCATGTAACACATCTAAAGACAGCACCAGACCCTGACTGGACCTGCACACCATCTGGTGACCTGAAGGTAAAGATTTCCTGGAATTGAAGCAGATGACATCCAATGAGGCAGCTTGCCCCAGATGTCTAGACAAGGCCTGTTAGAAGGTTCAGTATTCACAGATGTGGCTGTCTTTCATCTAGACTATAAAACTGACCCTGGATTCTTAGCCAAATTCAGTCTCTGCATTTGCAGCTTACAATCTGTATCGCTGATGAAACATCTGATTCCAAAGAGTTTCTTTGGAGATAACAATACTGTCTAATTATTCCATGTTTATTCCTACACTGTATCATTCCAAAGTTCTTGTTAATTCCTTCAGTTTTGAGCATGACTTTACTTCCCATTTGGCACTCTTGGTAAAGAACTTGCCTGTCAGTGCAGGAGACAAAAGAGATTCGGGTTCAATCCCTGGGTGGGGAGGATCCCCTGGAGGAGGGCAGGGCAACCCACTCTAGTATTCTTGCCAGGAGAATCCCATGGGCAGAGGAGCCTTGTGGGCTACAGTCCATAGGTTCACAAGAGTTGGACACAACTGAAGCGACTTAGCAACAAATTGCTGTATTCATTCTTTTAAGATACAGACTTTTAGATGGGAAATTCCTGAGAGATCTCCTCCTGCCCACCCCGCCTTGATACCTAAATGTGACCACAGTGGGTGTCCAATATGTGCACTTTCCCTCTGACATAGGACAAGACACTCAGGAAGGGTCCTTCCTGGCATCCAGGGGCAAAAGGTGATTGAACGCTAGTTAAAAAAACAAAAAACCCTGAGTCTTGATCAGGGATGCTCTTGGAGAAAGATCTTGATCCAAAGGGAGACATGTGAAAATTAATCAAGGGAAACCTTACTAAAATGGACTGGGGAGGACAGAAAGGGGAATACTTGACAGTCAATACACATCCCAACAGGAAGAATCAATACAGATCTCCAGCAGGAAGTAACACTACTAGCGCCAGCAGGAGGAGAATTTTTCTCCTTTCCTGACAACAGCTTAGCCAATGGGAGATTCTCACAACTCAATCATTGAAAAGTCACCATATTTGGGACTCCCAGTTTCCTCCAGCAAGCTTTATAACTATCCCTCCCAATTTCCATATCTCTTCTGTAAAAGAATTCCCTCTCCTTTGCTTGGGCTTCCCTTGTGGCTCAGCTGGTGAAGAATCCACCTGCAATGCGGGAGATCTGGGTTCTGGGTTGGGACGGTGCCCTGGAGAAGGGAACAGCTATCCACTCCAGTATTCTGGCCTGGAGAATTCCATGAACTGTATAGTCCATGAGGTCACAGTCCGACACGACTGAGGGACTTTCACTTTCACTTTCTCCTTCTCCTTCTCCTTCCTTCAGAAGATTTACAGGTGGTTCACCCAAGTGGTATGTCCCAAATTGCAATTCTTTGCCAGTGTTAATGTTAGTCTCTCAGTTGTGTCAGACTCTTTGTGACTCCATGGACTGTAGCCCACCAGGCTCTGACCATGGACTATTCCAGGCAAGAATACTGGAGTAGGTTGCCATGCCCTCCTCCAGGGAATCTTCCCAACCAAGGGATCAAACTTGGGTCTCCCACATTGCAGGCAAATTGTTTACCATCCAAGCCACCAAGGAAGCAGTTCTTTGCCACTCCCAATTAAATCTCTTCTGCTGGTAAAATATCTGGCTGTTTTATTGTTTTAGGTTAACAACTGCTTTTTTGGCCAAAGTCACCATGGAAAATGAGAAATCTCCCCAGTGTCCCTACATGTGGGAGGAGACTCTTCCCTCCCCCACCCATAAGCAGATAAGGCCCTGAGTGATAGTGGGTACAGGCCCACCTCACCCCCCACCTGCTGAGGGAACCCCCTTAGACAGCTGGATAACCAGGATCCCCCCAGGCAAGGTTCAGGCCAAGGTGGTGACACCACTCTAATTTTCCCAAAACCCTGTGCAATTCAGGACTTCCCTTGGTGACTCATTGATAAAGAATCTGCAGTGCAGGAGATCTGGGTTCAATTCTTGGGTCGGAAAGATCCTCTGGAGAAGGAAATGGCTACCCACTCCAATATTCTTGCATGGAGAATCCCATGGACAGAAGAACCTGGTGGGCTACAGTCCACGGGGTCACAAGAGTCGGACATGACTAAGCAACTATGTTGCAAGATGCTGTGGAGCACTTCTCAACCAGCCTTGTGCTCAATGCTTTACTTGTACCAGCTCAGTCCTCCCAGCCCTTTTAAGGTCAGGACAGCTACTACCTCCATTTGGGGCGGTGGGGGGGACTACCTTCCCGGGACAGGGAATCCTGGTGTGCTGCAATCCATGGGGTCACAAAGAGCTGGACATGACTTAGCAACTAGACAACAATCTTCCCAGATAGTCATTGCAGGCCACAGCTGAAACACAAGCAATCTTGCATCTTCACCCTCAATCTGCTTTTCAGTTTCTGGGCATTTCAGAGTAACCTGAAGTCTAAGCCAGAACTGTCGGGGGTGTGGGGGGTGGGGGGACCTCCTCTGGGGGATATTTTATCACATTCGTTTTCCAAGCTAAAGTGAACAATTTGGGGAGAAGAAGTTTGTTATCTCGGGGCTAGCCCATCACTTAAGTTGTGAGCTAGTCTGTGGATACGATAAAGATTTTTTGTTCTAACAGTGAATTCACAGGATTAAAATGATATCACTGCAAGCTTTTGCACAGCTTACAGACATCAGCATGGTCTTCGCAAAAATCTTATAGTTCACCAGGCCCACCAACTAAAAATTAAGCCATTAATTTTTAATGGGGGGATGGAGCCTCTTAAAAAATTAGTCCCTGAAGACTTTATCAATATTATTATTGCACTCTTTCAAACGTGCATAACGTGACCCCTTTATTGTGGAGGTCTACTGTATACTAGGGGCTTCCCTGGTAGCTCAGATAGAAAAGCATCTGCCTACAATGTGGGAGACCCGGGTTTGATCCCTGGGTCGGGAAGAATCCCTGGAGAAGGAAATGGCAACCCACTCCAGTACTCTTGCCTGGAGAATCCCATGGACTGAGGATCCTGGTAGGCTACAGTCCATGGGGTCGCAAAGAGTCGGACACGACTGAGCGACTTCACTTCACTTCACTGTATACTAATGTGTGTACTCAGTCGCTCAGTCGTGTCCGACTCTTTGCAACCCCATAGACTGTACCCCAGCAGACTCCTCCATCCCCAGGATTTCCCAGGCAAGAATATTGGAGTGGGTTGCCATTTCCATCCCTGGGGGATCTTCCTGACCCAAAGCCATGTCTCCTGCATTTCCTGCATTGGCAGGTGGATTCTTTACCACTGAGCCACCTGGGAAGGCCACCATGTACTAGTAGGGGGCTCAGATGTTCCCTGGCCCGGGTCCCTGGGGATCTGTGGGGTCCACCTTCCTGGTCGGAGCTCATGACCACTGTTGCTTCCTACAGGCCTGTGTGTGCACCTCATCCCCCGCAGCCATGGCCCTGGTCAGCATCAACCAGCTGCCCGAGAACATCCTGCTGGAGGTGTTCACGCATGTGCCCGCCCGCCAGCTGCTGCGGAACTGCCGCCCGGTGTGCTGCCTCTGGCGCGACCTCATTGACCTCGTGTCCCTCTGGAAGCGCAAGTGCCTGTGGGAGGGCTACGTCACCGAGGACTGGGACCAGCCTGTGGCTGACTGGAAGGTCTTCTACTTTCTGTGCAGTCTCCGCAGGAACCTGCTGCGCAACCCGTGTGCTGAAGGTGAGCGGGGGCTGCCTCCCTCCCTTTCCTGAACCTCAGGACCTTTGCACTTGCTGTTCCCACACTACCTGGACTATTCCCTCACTGCCCCCCACCCCCCTGCCCCAAAACCTGTCACGCTTCCTTGGTCCTTCTCATCCATCAGATCTCAGTTCAGAGATATGCCCTGATCCTGCATCTGAAAACAGTGCCCCCCTCATGTCACATCACCCCATTTCCTTCCTTCATTGCACTGGTCATAACCTAGAATTACTCAGTTTCTTGGGTTTTTTTTTCTTTTCCTCTGCTACAAATTTCAAGTTCCTGGGGCCTGACAGATCTTGCCACTTGGCACCCCGTGTCCACATAGCAAGTGCTCAGGACACATTGGTTGAATGAATGAGCATATGCCCTGCCCCCCTTCTTATCTAGTTCAGTCTTTGCTATCTAAGGGCTATGTGCAAGCTGGCTCTGTGCCTGGTGAGTCATTAGCCTCCTGTCACCTCATGATACAGAGAAGGAAAATGAGGAATTTGAGAGGTGACTACAATCACATGGTTTGAGGCTCCAGTTTTGCCTATGTTCTCTTATATTTGCCAGGGTTTGTTTATTTTTTCTCCCTTCATTAGCACCTTCATTTCATATCCGGCATCATGCTTCCTGCTGGGATATAGCAGCAACTGATCAAGAGGCCTGGTCTGTACACTTAGAACCTTTTTCATGCTTGTTTTCTCTCTCTGTTCTCACAAGTGTCATACGCAGGTTAGCCAAAGAAGGTAGGCTCCATTTTATAGGTGGGGAGTATGAGGCCCCCCAAGATGAGTGTCTTGCCCAAAGATCTAGAACTGCCCAGCTTCTGGAGTCTGGTCCTGACTACTAATAGCCAGGCCCCATATAGGCCCCACTCAGTCTCCTGACCTGCCCCAAATTCTGCTCAGAAGTTTCCCAGCAGGTCCAGGCCACCAGCTTGGCTCATCCAACCCTGCAGAGACAGCCACCCAGCCTTGCTCAGCTCTCCCTGTGGGCCTGCCCTGGGCAGTAGCCCAGCTCCTGGATTTCTGAATTCTTCTGGTTCTCTGCTGGGGAGCCCCCAGGGAACCTGGGGAATAGATGTGGGCTCCTAGTAGAGGGAACAAAGGAGTGACTTGGAAAAGCTCCCCTGGTGATTGTTCTGGAAAGCCTGGAGAGGAATCAACTTGTTTCGGGGGAGACAGAAAGGATAGCCTTATGCCTCCAAATCTACTCTGCCAACCTGGTGGGGAACCTGTCCACAAATACAGGGTTACTACACGGCACCAACCCAGAGGGTGCCCGGCCCCTCAGTCCTCCCTCCTGCCCAGGGCAGCAGGTTCCCACCGCCCACCAGCAGACCCCCTCGGATCTCAGTTACATAGCTGACCTCCCAGACGTCAACACTGGGGGGACTGCCAGAAAGTGGTCTGAGGTGGGATGAACTCACACTAACCGTTCAGAAGAGAATTACCCTCATGGGCCCTGCATCATTCACTGGTTTGAGAACTGAAACTTGGGTATTTTCCAGAGCCCCCCCGGCAATATGGAAGTGAGGAAAGTTTGGTTTAGAATTTCTGCTTATACTTTTTCTTTTTTTTTTTTTTTGTCCCCAGCTTCACATTAGGAATTTAGTCAGTCAGAAAACAAAGTTGGAAAGTGGGAGGGGAGGGTCCTGGATCAGAGCTGATGCGATGGGCTCAGGTCAGAATGTGGAGCAGTGGGGGGTGGGTCTTTGCAGAGTGGCTTCAAAGTGGCATGGGGGGCATGCCTTGAGATCTGAGCCTCCCCAACCCCCGCCCCACCTCCCAAGATCAAGTGGAGAGGGCCAGGCTGAGCATTCACACAAGGGATCTCACTGGGGTTTCTGTTTTTCCTAGAGGATATGAGATCCTGGAAAATCGACTCCAACGGAGGGGACCAGTGGAAGGTGGAGAGCCTCCCTGGAGCACATGGCATAGACTTTCCTGACTCCAAAGTCAAGAAATACTTTGTCACATCCTATGAGTAAGATAAACTGAGCCAAGAAGCTGTGTGGAGGGAGGAGGGTCCAGACACCTTCTGCCAAATCCAAAGGCCTAAGTGAGGGCCTGCCTATGAAGCTCCAGGGAGGGGGTTCCCAAAACCAGCTCACAGTCTACTGCTACCTAGAGCAGGAGTCAACTCAGTGGCCACGTTAAGAGGCAGCAGGGGTGGAGAGCAGTTAGAGGAGGCAGGGAGCCCATTTGAGTGGGGAGGCTAAGTCAGAGGCAGTACAGCCTGTCCCCAGTCTAGGGACCTGAGTTTATAGGTGCCCTCCTTAGGGTGCTGGGAGACTGGGCCTAAGGACTGGGATGGATGCAGCCCAACACAAGTGGGTCAGGCTCCCCGCATGTTCCCCACGGGGCTGCCAGGAAGCAGGAGCCAGAGTCCACAGCAGCAGTGACTGGCCCACAGTGATCGAGCGGGGACTCCTGGGCCCCTTAAACTACCCCGCTGGGTCCAGGCCATGCCTGCAAATGCATGCCTTTCCCTCTGCTCCCCAGCATGTGTCTCAAGTCCCAGCTGATAGACCTCAAAGCCGAGGGCTACTGGGAGGAGCTACTGGACAAGTTCCGGCCGGACATCGTGGTTAAGGACTGGTGAGTGGGCCCCCCCTCCCTGAGTCCCACACTCTGCAGCCCTCCCTCTTCTCTTCCTGAGATCCCCTGTAGGGAGTGCCCGCGGAACCCAGCAGTATCTTACGGCATGGGCTGCCCTCCTTCCTGCTGATAGAGCCAGCACTTACTCATTGAGCACCTGCCTCCCACTACCACCACCACCCTGCACCAGCGGATGTTAACCCCACTTTACAGATGGGGAGACTAAGGCCTACAGATGCATTGTCACAAACAGGCACGGAAGCAAAAGATACCAGAACCTAGCCTCCTTGGACCTCACAGATACTCACATACCTCCTTGCCTGTCTGCCGCCCCTGCCCCTTTAACCGTTCATCCCACGACTCTATCCCAAGCTCCTACTCCATGCCCAGAGTAGGGTGGGCACAGGCTCTGCCCCGGCCTGGCTCAGGGCAGAAGCTGAGCCCCAGTGCCAGCCAGGCCCACCACTCTGAGGGCGGAGGGTGGGGTTTGAGGCATGCAGAGCTACGGAGGTTTCAGAAGGTGCAGTGGAACTGCCCAGAGGCTGAGTTCTGTGCCAGCCCCCATCACACAGGCCCTCCCTCCCAAACCTCCATGAAAATGTACAGGTGACACACATCTGACAGCCCAGGCCTTTATCTTTGTAAAGAGCCTGTCGCTTTTTAGATTGAAAAAAGCGTTATGTTGAAAAAAAAAAGATTACGTTGAAATCTCCAGTGGAACACCCAAGAAGGTTATTGCTCCTTTTCTCAGATGGGCTCATTGAGGCCCAGAGCAGTCTATACCCCCGGGCACATGGAGCACTGCAGCCACCTGGGCCTCATGGGCAGAGCAGGGCAATGAAACTTGGAGCCCCAATTTATGGGCCTGCTGCCTGCTTGCTTCCAGGGCCGCCTCTGTCTTGGGGTGCCCAGTCCTGAGCCCCGCCCTCCCACAGGTTCGCCGCCAGAGCAGACTGCGGCTGCACCTACCACATCCGAGTACAGCTGACCTCAGCCGACTACCTCGTCCTGGCCTCCTTCGAGCCCCCACCCGTGACCATCCACCAGTGGAATGATGCCAAGTGGACAGAGGTGAGGCCTCACCTGCTTGTCCCTCGCCACCTGCTTCTCCCAAGGCCAGGATGGCAGGAAATCGGGAGCAGCTGCAGGGCCTGGAATGCCCCAGTCCACTGCCTGGAGCTCCTGCCTTCTGGGCCGGAGGCTCACTATTGCAGGACCTGGCTCTACCCTTCCCTTCTCCAGCTCAGCCCCTCTCCAGTCCTAGTGATTTCTCTCTCTCCCCTCCCCCCAGGTTTCCCACACCTTCTCGGATTACCCTCCAGGTGTCCGCCACATCCTCTTTCAGCATGGGGGCAAGGACACCCAGTTCTGGGCAGGCTGGTATGGGCCCCGCGTCACCAACAGCAGCGTCGTCATCAGCCACAGGGTGACCAGGAACCCGCCCCCCGCCATGGCGCAGCCCTAGACCTTGCAGAGGCCAGAGGAGGCACCCCACCTGCCCTCCACACTCCATCTCCACAAGCCATCTGACTGTCCTCTGACAGCCATCCATCCGTCCTCTGCCTGGGCCAGTTGAGTGCTAAAGGTCCCCTGCAGGCAAGAGCTGAGCCTGTAGGGGGCAGCCCCCGCTCTGACCTGGGGCAAACCCAGCTTGTGAACTTACTGTCAGGTAGCTCGGACTTTTTTGTTGTAATAAATGTTTTCAGCAAAACTCGCCTGGGACTGGGTCCAGGGGTGGGGCTACAAGGTCCTTGGCACTTGGGCAGAGAAGCAGCCCCTTCCTTCCAGGTAGTGACAGCCCAGTTCAGCCCTGGGGGCTCTTTATTGAAACAACTCACAGCACAGCATTTGAGACAGACAGAGTTGGCCGGCCGAATCCCAGAAGGCTGAGAAACTGAGGTCCCAGCACTCTTCCCTGCCCTCCTGGGCGGAGAAGGGAGCGATTCCTTCACAAAGGCAACCAGGCCTGGGCAACCCAGGGCTGGAGGCAAGGGTGGTCCATACACAGAGACAATAAGAGCACTTGGAATCAGGGTGGCCCTGCAGCACGGCCCAAGGCTGGGCCCCCAAAGTCCGACAGTCGTGGCTTTCCTGGGGGATATGGGGGAGGGCAGGTGCACCCTCAGCTGCTTTTATGCGCCCGCTCTTCTACGTAGAGCTGCATCTGATGGACAGGAATAGACACTATGGTCAGACAGACAACCAGGGCACCTCTTCTAGGGAGCCCATGGGGTCTCCGCCCAGGGTGGGGCTACGGGGTCACTGCCAGGGGTTAAAAGAAGAGGGGATTGGGAGCCTTATGCCAGGCACGCCCTGTCATTTCCCCTGAGCCTTTGTCCACAAGCCACCTGGCGAGGCCTCAGCACAGGGGCCCCAAGCGGCTCACCTTTAAGATGTCTGATGTCATGGTCTTTAGAGGTATCAGTCGGGGGTCGTGCATGTGGACATCCTGCTCGTCTGCCAGGATCCAGGGGAAGTCCTGGGGAGGGGACCAAGGGAAAGGTGGCAGGGGGCCTGTTGCCCACCTTCACTTTGCTCCCCTCTCCCCTTCCAGAACTGGCATCCTCAGACATCAGGAAGCATCAGAGCCATCAGGGAATTGCCGTTGTGCAGAATCCCAAGTTCCCCCACCAGAAAGGCCTAGTCTGTAGATCTGAGCTGGCCTGGGAGCCCCAGTGACTCAACATGCCCCAAACACCAGTTCAGAAACTGGATCGAGGCTCCCCTCCACTGAGCGGGTGCCTTGCCCTTCTCTCAGCGCTGAGTGCCCAGGTAGGGCGCTGACAAGGTGATGACCTCAGAGCTGATGCAGGAGAGCTACTGATGCCAGCACTGCCATAAGTGATGTGATGAGTGCCCCGCTGGGGCAACACCCCTGCTCGAACAGAACTCTGATTCTCAACGCCTCCCAACTGTCTCCTGCCCACCCTGCTACACCAGTCCCATCTTACCTTGATGACCTGGATCTTCTCCATGTTGCGAGTGGCAGCTTCTCTCGTGTGCACTAAGACGGTGAAGGTACAGCCTAAAGAGGCCAAGTTCAGTCAAGCCTGGACCACCCCATACCTGCCACTGGACACAGCCTTTTCCCACACAGCCTAACTGGCACAGCAACCCCACAGAGCAGAGTGTGAACCCAGTGCTCAGACAAGACACTCAACAGGGAGACTTAACCCCCAGGTGGAGTCAATCAGGGAGGCCTCCTCGAGTAGGAGGGTTCTTAAGAGGGGTTCTAAAAGGCAGGAAGGAAGAGAGGAGGCTTGGTGCAGCCAAGTAGGGACCCAAGGACACAGGCCAACACGGAGCCATGGAAATGCCCAGGGAAGAAGGGGTGGGGAAGAGCACACCTGGGGGGTTGTGGTCCAGAACAGCATCACACACACTGATCTTCAGGATGAAGGCTCGGAGCAGCTGCTCCACGTGAGATAGCAGGGAGTCGGAGCTGGGAAGGAGAGAGGAGGAGGGTCTCCCAGCACATGGGTGTCCCCCCTCCCACTGGCAGGCAATCAACCCTGGAAGCAGCCCTGGGGGTACAGAGGGCCTGGTGCTTCTGAGGGCCTGCCTACTTGATTTCACATGGTTAAAATCCTCTGGGGAGTTTAAAACAAAAGCCAGGCTAATTAACTCAGAATGGGGTGGGGTGGAGGGGGGGGTGCGGGGAGCATAAGGAACCCTAGTAGGTGGTTCTAACGTGCAGTCCAGTCTGAGAACCAGGACACCAGGCCAGGAAGGGACAGGGCTTGCTTGAGGCCACACAGCAAGTAGGGACAGATTCTAGTGCCCTGACCTTACCACAGGAAGCCAGCAGCTGACCAGCCCAACACAGCCACCCAAGGTCAACTTCTAGTTGACTATGGACTGGATGCTTGACTGGGAAGTCAGGAAACTGGGTCTGTGTCCTAGCTCTAAGTGACCAGGTCAAGATCATCTGAGAACCAGGACACAGTTGATTGATTTCTGCATCTATAAAACGAGGTTGGGACCAGCCATTTGCCAATGCTGTGATTTTCCAGGTGTGATACAGGACAGTTTTCTGTGATACAGGAGGGTTTTCTGTGTAACCTGTGTGACATCCACAGAGACTGCTGGGTGGCCAGCTGTGCCTCGGCCACTAACAGGCCCCGTTAAGGCAGCACACCTCACCACGTGTCCTCCCAGGTCTTTAGCAAGGCATTCGGGGGTTGCCTTAAAGGGGTTAGGGTAGGGGTATTGCTAGGGAGCCTGTGGATGGGGAACAAGGCAGCACACCTGATGGATAGCAGTGGGGGCTGGGTGATTTCGAAGACGAATTTCTCCACTGGGCGGTGCTCCTTGTCCAAAATTACCACCACCACTTTCTCCACATCATTCTGCAAGGACAAGATCCCCCTCCTCCAGAGCTGGGTCCCTGCCTCCTGTCTCCCTTGCTCACTCCCCTCCCTGCCACCTGCTCCCTGCCCAGGGAAGGTTGGGAAAGACACTTGAAGTCCTGCTCAGCTCCCAGGCCCAGAGTCCCTGGGATCCCAGAAAGAGGTTTGAGAAGTTGAGCAGGCACCCCAGTGGTACCCACGGAGAGGAAAGGATGCTGGGTCCCATTGTAATGCTAGGATGTCTCAGGGAGCAGAACAGATAGAGGGAGGAAGCCCTGAGGGGCCAAGCCCAGACAGAACTTGGGGCAGAGGGAGAGAAAGGAACATGAGAGAAGGACCCAAAACCCTCAAGGCAGGCCCCACTCAGCAAATTCCACGAACCAAGGCTCCAGGCCCAGCATGCCTTGAGCATACCCACATGCCCTGGGGCCTGTCCCTGGGCAAGGGTGGTCTCCAGAGAGCAGGGAATAGGCTTCTGGGTGTTATTAGTCATGTGGACCTGACATGGTCCCAGCATTGCCCCATCCTGGAGCATGGAGGGGCACGGGAGGCAGCGTAGGTTGGGGGCCTGGTGTTCTCACCTTTTCCAGGAGCGGCTTGACGCAGTGCAACGTGTCCTGGATATACTGGTTCAGCTCCGGATGACAGGACATCTACACACAACCCCAACAATGGCTGGTGAGGTTGCAGCACTGATGGGGGGACCCCTGACACCCTCTCCAGCTGCCCAAGGCCCTGCCTGCCTTTGGAGAAAAGACCAGCTGTTCCCTAGGGCTCCCCACCAGGAGACAGACTTCCCGTCATGAGGCTAAGAACTGAACTATCTACAGAGGGGAAGAAGTTAGAAGATCCTAAGAATTCAGTCCCAACATTAGCATTTAAAAAAGCATTAGGAGTTTCTAATGCAGGGCCACTGAGCTCCTCCAGAGTCTGAGATGTCTCTAAATTGTGGGGGTTTGAGCATACAGGCATTTTTCCAGAGAAGGGATCCAGGAATTTAATCCATTTTCAAACATTAAGAATCTGGAACTAAGGACCTGAGTGGCCTCAGGCTTAACTCCTCTGCCTTTCCTTACTTCATCTGTGGAAGACCTCATTTAAAAAGAAAAAGGAGGATTAAGTGAGACAAGTACCTAGTACACAGTGTTGTTGTTTAGTTCTTAAGTTGGGTCTGACTCTTGTGACCTCATGGGCTGGAGCCCACCAGGCTCCTCTATCCATGGACTTCTCCAAGCAAGAATATTGGAGTGGGTTGCCATTTCCTTCTCCAGGGATCTTCTAAACCCAGGGATCAAACCCGAATCTCCTGCATTGGTAGGTGGATTCTTTACCACTGAGCCACCAGGGAAGCATGGTACACAGTGGGTACTCAGTAAGTGCTGATTCTTTTTTCATTTTCCCTGTATATCTTTTTGCTTGTTTTTTGTTTCCCACCCCCCACCCGTATCTTTTAAGCTTCCACCACCTTCCAGTGTTCAGTCATTTGTTCTAATATTTACTGAGCGCTTTCTAAGGGGCAAGAACTTCTAGAGGCTGGTGATGTAGTCACATGTATTTACTGCTTCCTCTGCCTTTTAACCTAAAACAAATTTTTACAATTAGGGTAAATGAGGGTAGAGAGAAGGTGCCTGAGGTTATAGGAATCCCCTCCAAACCAACCATTCATCAGTTTCAGGAGACCTCTAAAAATCAAAGATGGGGGGAAGGGTGGGGGGACTCTAATTAGAGGACCTGGTCCCTAACTTCTGGCAAGGGGAATTCCCAGTTCAGAGAGGAGGGAAGGAGATGCCACGGCAGTGAGGGATGGGAGGCTGTGGAGCTATTAGCTGCTTCTGTAAACTAGAAGGCAAGGTCAGGCCGCTGGGGAATGAGGGCGCTGAGCCTGAAGGTGAAGAGAGTTAAAAATCCCCTCTCCATCCGCTCTGTGATTCGCAGGTGACCCAGGGCACCCAACCTGGCTGTGGGGGCTCACCTGGACAGGCACATTGTACTTCTTACGCTTCTGGAAGATGCCCACCGGGTAGACCTCACGCACGTAGAGGATCAGGTGCACCGCCACCTCCAGGAACTCGCAGAGCACATCGGCCACCACTGAGAGACGGGCAGAACGCGGCGCGCTCGTCGAGGGGGAAGCCCGCCAGCCCTGGCCCTCCCTCGCCCCCCGCCCTGGGTCCGCAGGTCCAGCCTCCCTACCTTGACCAAAGTTGAGGTCCTGTCGCGTGAGCGTGGTCATCCTTCCCGACACCTGGGGGGTGGGGCAGAAGTGGGAGCTAGTTCCAGAGGCCCCGGCAGCCGCAGGGCCCGCCCACTCCCACTGCCCCGCCCCTCGACCTGGGAGGGAACCCGGGCAGGACAGCCCGTC